AGTGCTGTTTCACACTAGAATGACAGAACATAGGACGTTTGAATGCATTTGTATCTTTCGCGCTTGAAAGTTGCGTAGCGGCATTTCGTAGTGCTAGTGCGCTGCAGCAGAACTTCTCTTTAAGGGTCAAAATAAAGTGGAGCATCGAGCAAAGCGTGGATTTCAATCGTATATGTTTCAATGGCCTGTTCACACTAGACTGACAGCACAATTATTTTCAAGGTTTCGCACTGGATGCAAAGTAGCAGAACAACAGTAGAATAAAATGAGCATACGTGTGGGACATTTGAATGTGTTTGTAACTTTGCGATTGAAATTTACCTAGTGGAATTTTTGTAGTTACGCATGAGTAGTGTGACCACTTTTCCAAAGACTCATTTACGTACACAAAAGATTGTAGCAACACAAAATTTCAAAGAAAAATTTTGGAAACGATTTTATTGCTGTTTATTAGTCGATATCCAAACACATGTTTGACGTACCAACTTCAGCATATTTATTTGCGAATTGAGAAATATTTCGGTACATACATACATTCAAAGCTGAAATAATGCAATTGCTGCTAAATTACAAAAGTGTGGGCTTATGTAATCAATTCATTGATCTTGAGTAGTTTTCCTGAACGCGCGTTTTCCATCTGATGCAATTTTTTCAGCATTTGAGGCTGCTTCTTTACGAATTCGGATAACTCCGTACAAGTCATTTTAATGTTGTACCGAACAAACAAAAGATCTCGCAATATCTCGATTTTCAGTTGTGATTTCTGATTGATCAAAGAAAATACGCGTTCAATACGCCCACTTTTAGTTTTTGTGTTATCTCAACGGCCGCTATACCGCACTTATGCCTCAAAATGAGTCTACGATGCGAATGAGTTTAATATACAAAAAGCCAAATGAGTTACTTGAATGAACTGACTCCATAAAGTGAGTTGGAGTCATTGAGTCAACTCCTATAAATTGCTGAGTTACCCACCCTTAACGGACACAAGAAAAACACAAATAAAGTATTCAGCCATAGTCAAATGAACTGAAGGTGGCGCATTTCCGAAACCACTACTTTGGTTTTGCCGACTTTGACATTTATGGCAATACGTAAACAAACTTTTTGTTTAGAAACAAGTGCAAACGTATTGTGTACTTTCAAGCGAAAAAGTTCTGAAGTAAAAAACGTTTTATTTGTAATAAAAACTTTATAAAAATGTCGTGTAGTGTGTTGAATTGCAGCAGCCTTAGGGGTAAAGCCCCCAAATGCAGCTTTTTTTGCTTCCCGCGACGACGCCTTCGCCAGAAAGTGGAAAAGTTCTGCCGGCAGGAAAAGCCATACAATTTAGACACCAGCGCAATATGCACGAAGCACTTTACGGACCACTTTTAAACACGACATGTTAAGTTGAAAACGTTGAAATACCACAAATTACAAATTAAAATCGGAGGTAAGCAAGCATCGACCACTTTCTGCAGGAAAACATGCGCTGCGACAAGATATTATCACTTTTTCGGCACCTGCAATACAAACACAAACATTCTAAAAAGTTAATTAATAAGACCTATTCTTTTGAACACATTCCAAGTGTGGATGTATATTTTTTGTTAACGTAGTGCTTAATTTGCTATATGAGCCCTTTATTTTGAAAGTGGTATAAGTCATTTCCCAGTTCTTGTGCTTGAATGACCGGCTACTTGTAACTGTATGCATCTGTAAATCGTACTATCGTCGTAAACTAATTGCAAAACCTTCAACCATTCGTTGATGAAGTTGACACGAATAACCGACGCTTTAAGATACCAGTCATTTAAGCACAAGAACTGGGAAATGACTTATACCACTTTCAAAATAAAGGGCTCATATTCAAAGATGGCTGAGAAATTGGTGAATCGAGAAGAAAACACGTTTTCTCACTGCAAATTCACAACTGTCAACTCATTGTTCTTCGCCATATTCTTTGTTTACCCGTTGACACAAATGTCATTCTGCGGGAATGCGCAATCTTGTACTCCATCGTTCTTGGTATTCAGCAGACCCTTTGTCAGTGTTGGGGATTTTATCGTCATTTTGACGATTTTTTAATGAGGTGTTTACACTTTCCATCAACTGATTCATTATAATATTTTTAGTTTTTATTAGTCAAAATTTGCATGCACGTATGTATATTGGGCGCTCCTATCGATAAAATTTACGTACAACAATATTTCTTCGATTCAATTTACGTACATTTTCGTGGTTAGCTTCGGTACACGGTACATGGCTACAAATTTACGTACTGTACGTGTCATTTACGTACAGTTGGTCACACTACGCATGAGTTAGTGCGCTACAGCAGAACTGCCATTTTAATGCGGGGTAGAAGCTGGAACCACTTTTTGAAAAACTTTACCTCACTGCACTGCAAACAGAGTTGTTCGGGTCGCAGAAATATTCCAGTGTGAAACCAACCAATGAGAGAACGCATAGTGAAGCACGGTAGAGCGAATACAGAAGGTGGCGCCGATCGCAACACCGCTAATCGGCTCTCAGTGAACTTGACAGAATCAGCTGTTTTGCTGACGTCACAGTCGAGATGACAGCAGCAGTGGTGTGCTGAGTCAATACTTTCAAGTATTCATCGATATTCGGTACCGATTAAAAAGTATCCAATACTCTCGATACTCGGTACCAAAACATTTAGGCGCATATTCATAGTCATATTTAGGTCACAACTAAGGCTTTCTGCTCATTGGTCGTCCAATCATAGTTGAGTCATAGTTATCGTCATGAAGCAACGATTACATGACGATTACACTTCTGCACAGTTGGTCGTGATATTTCAATTCATTTGGCGTCTAAAAATTCACTTGGAGCAGGTATTTTCTGTTTTTTGTTGTTGATATTTTCGCGAAATATTTACAAAAACCTGCAATTTTTTAAATATAGACTGTGCTGCAACATTTCTAGACGTAATTTTCCAGTAATATCTCTTCTTTTCTTTTCCTGGAATGTGTTTTGTGTATGCACACAGAGACTTAATACAATTTCGTCATATTTTATAGTTAAAACGCTCATATTTATTAAATTTTAATGCAATTATCCACTTTTTAATAATTTCCACAGATTTTATGCAAAAAAATACTAATTTTTATACAATTTTAATGCAAATATTAACTTTTTCACTAATTTTCCCCCATAAAATGTAAACAAACAATGCGTGCACAACGATTAGCAAACGACAGTGCCGTACTTATCCGTTTCTGCATCTTCTACGATTTGCCGATAACTAGCCGATAACGACAAGTGTGCAGATCTCCTTTGAAATGCATGTGCTCGGCTCAAAATTTCAGGGCGAGACGATAACGCAACTATGATTGGACGACAAGTGTGCAGATAGCCTAAGTCGAAAGTTACAACTAAAGCTATTCATAGTCGCCTTAGTTTCGACTTTTTTTGGCTAAGTACCAACTTAAAATTTAGTTTCGGCTGCAGCTGCAATTAAGTCGTAGCTAGAAAGAAGTATTTTATTAAATTAAAGAAAAAATACGAAATTTGTAAAAATTAAGTTGGCAGAGCGTGATTTTGATAATATTGAATGATCTCCAATTGAAATTTACAAAGGGCGATCCATTTGAATCGGAAGATGAAATTAAATCCGTATTACAATTCGAATAAGGCTACATCACAATTTTATAATTGGAATTATTTACATATATAAATGCTCAAATAATAAGACAATTTCAAGCATTTCTTTTAGAGCAAATTGGTGCATAACATTTAGATATGTGTTTGTATGTTTCACATCATGCTTTCGATAAACATCGACTTCACATCATTGCGGTAGTTCTGGCTATTTCACACAACTAATAAGAAACTTATACCTTATTCTTTTGCATAAACATGCGATGAAAGTAAAAATTACATAAACGGATGATCAAACTTGACATTATTTAATAAAAATATCATTTTTCCAAAATATCGTAAAGAAAAATCGATAAATTTTCACACTTGTTTTGCAATATCGTAAAACTAAGTTAAAATTACTTAGTAGAAGTCTGAAATGCGACTATGAATAGAAGTGAATTTTGAGTTGTTACCTAAATTTAAGTTGCAACTTTATTAGTTTCGACTTAGTGGCTGGACTATGAATACACGCCTTAGATTTCGAATAAAAGCGCACACAGGCCAAAGATATGGAAAAAAAGGCTCAGGGGAGACTCGCCTATCAAAACCCGAATGTAGGAGCCAATAGAGCTTTTAATACTGATTCAAATGAAAGATGTATATATGTCGGTTCCAGGCCATAACGCAGAGAAACTCTTACTTGTTTGAAGCAATTTTTATTCCAGTTGAATCGGACGATATAATTTTTGGAGGCCTGGGGGCAGATTCTATAACCAGTTAGCGACAATTTTCGAATCGGTATCGGGTTTGTTGACGTATGATATGAAATATTGTTACACATTTTTCATCCGTGAAAGCATTTTTCTTGAACCTTGGATCGACTAAGGTTAAAACTGATAAATTAATATTTTTCTTTGGCGATAAGTTCAAGTATTTTAGCCGATATCATATAAATTAGTAATGAAAGTCTTTTCTAAACCTGAAATGCATATAATGGCGAAGGTTTAATGTAAATAATCGGTATCGGATAACGAAAAGGAAGTATTAGGTACCGAAATCTTTTTTAAGTATTGGGTACCGAGTATTGGAGACAATTCAGCACATCACTAGTCGCCCTTATTCTCGCCGCTCTCAGTTGTCAACTCTACGATGACGTCACGCTAAAATTACTCTCACGAATTCTGCTGCAATCGGCGCAATCTTGTATTCTATCATTCTTGATAGTGAAGAGCAAACGTACATACACGTTTGTAATTGGAGCTTTGCTCGATGATGCTAGCTCTTCGCTTTGCTCGTCGCTCCACTATGTTTTCACCCTAATGCAGGGTAGAAGCTGGAACAACTTTTTGAGAAACTACCTCACCGCACTGCGTCTCTTACCTACAAAAAGAGTTATTCTGGTGGCAGAAATGTTCCAGTGTAAAACCGGTCATACAGTTCAATGCGAGCGTGAGCCTGAACGTTCACAAAGGCAAAGAACTCAATTTTTATTCTTATAAGCGGCATTCACGGTGCGTCTGGTGCGCCTTCGACTACACACAGTTGAATCATTGAGAGTCCCCAGCAAAATTTTTGGCAAGCGCTTCTTCTATTATCAATTCTATAACTAATTGACAGCCCATCCAAAAATGTTTTCTGATTATCTTATACATTACTAGTCATCGAACAACTTACTTTTGCGTTACATTACAAAAGTGCTTCTGAGTAGTGCGCCAAAGAAGCGCGTAATTTGAAAATTCGTCCACTTACTCCTTAAAGAGTACAGTTATTTTTTCTATCGGCTTTAGACACTTTCGCTTTGTTTTATAAATTTCTGGAAATGTTTATTGACGCGAAGCCAGGCTAAAGTTGAAAATTGTGAATTTAAGTGATTTGATTAATACTAAAAGGTGAAAAATTTTTGCAAAATAAGCAGCATGTATAGTAAAAGGCATTTGACACGCCTTATCAGCAAAGAGAAAGCTATTTTATATGAAAAACTCCAGGCTAGAAAAAAGCCGAATGAATTTCCAAGAAATGAAATTGAGTGCAGTGTCAATGAAGAAGTAGAAGGCGTTCAAGAAAATAAAAACGATATTTTAATAAAAAAAACTAAGACAGTGGTTTTTGGAGTGTAGTCTAACGGTTGTAACGTGCAATCGCTTGTTAAATGTTTTGCAATCCGAAAACATTGCAGTGCGGAAGTCGGTTTCGGGATTAGTGCAGTCAAGGATGCTCGCGGTGATTAGAACAGTTACTCCTGGACAATCTGTTCATATTGGACTTCGTCATCAGCTTCAAACGTTTTTAACTACTCTATTAAAGGAGAACATCAATGAGGTATTTTTAGATATTGGTGTAGATGGTTTACCCCTTTGTAAAAGCTCAGCAGTAGGGTTATGGCCAATTTTAGGTCACTTATCAAATTTACCATACAGTGAACCCTTCCTTATTGGAACATACGTTGGAAAAGCAAAACCTGTCAACGTGAATAGCTTTCTCCATGACTTCATTATTGAATTAAAAAGTATTTTAGACAACGGAGGCGTACGGTTTGGAAGTGAATTCATAAAATTATCTATTCGAGCTTTTATTTGTGATGCTCCAGCGCGGTCATTTCTTTGCGGCATTAAAGGGCATAACGCCCTAAATGGTTGCACAACATGTGTTCAAACTGGTCGAAGCATTAGGGGTGTAACTACATTTCAAGTTGAGGTTGCAAGTTTACGTACTGACATGGATTTCTATAACCGAAACGATAGATCCTTCCACAATCCATTATATTCTGATCGCTGATCGAACTTGGAAGAGTTAGGAATTGGGATGATTAGCCAGTTCCCCTTAGATGCTATGCATTTAATAGACAAGGGAGTAACGAGAAAAATTATTTCATTCCTTTTAACATCAAAAACAAATCCAAAGTTACGAATGGATGAAAAAAATGCGATGTCTTCTATACAGACATCCTTCATACCATATATAACTAGGGAGTTCGGAAGAAAGCCGATGTCATATGAAGAGCTGAAAAGGTGGAAATCTGTTGAGTTTCGCCAGTTCTTGTGTTATACAGGCCCACTTGCGAATTAAGAACTTTGTCAGTGAAGAGTTCTTTCATAATTTTCTTCTTCTCCATTGTTCATATCGTATGTTAATGTGTAAAAAGCATTTTTTATCCAACTTGTCTACAATTAAAGAAATGATTTCGGACTTTGTAGTAAACTTTCCAAGGTTCTATGGCGAAAACAGTGTCACGTATAACGTACACAATTTATTACACCTTACAGAATCTGTGAATGATCACGGGTTTCTAGGAAGTTATACCGCATACAAATTTGAAAATTTCATGAAAACTTTGAAGAACACCGTAAAAAACCGCAATTTATCCCCCAACAACTACATATGAAGTTTTATTACTCTGATATAATTATTAAAAAACCCAAAAATGGGCCTCAACTTAACGCAAAGGGAGAAGTTATTGCATATGTATCTGAAGAACTCTATATTTCAGCAAGGTTTCCTGACAGTTTTTGCACACTATCCATTTCTTCCTGTATGTATTACTAAAATGAATGTAAATGGAACATTCGAGGGAAAACCATTTCTTAATCCAAATAATCTATACTCAGAACCCGTTCCTTCACAAGCCCTAGGAATTTGTTGCGTTAATCTTTCTGAACTTGGCAGCATACAAATTTTTAAAATTAAAGACATATACACCAAACTATTATCGTTACCGTACGGAGAAAAATTAGTTTTAATACCATTGCTCCACCACTGCACTTAAAAATAAATAAAATAATAAACAAATAAAAAATTCAGTTGTTTTGAAATTGATGCACGCCTTAAAGAACTGGGAGACGTTATACAATCACTTGAAACCTCAGTTTCAGATCTCATTTGTAAGTAACTGATAACGTGTTTAAAAATATTTAAGTGTACTCAACATTCTTTTTGTCTTAATTTTTTTGTAGGTACTGTATCTTCACAAAATGATACCATATTACAACTAACACCAGAAGTGGCAATGTTAAAATCTGTTTTATTGACACTAAAAGGTTTCCTCTGACTTCTGAGGAGGACCTAATTCAGTTAGAGGAAGACATTACAGAGGACAACAAAGAAGCTATGGTGATTTAATATTCGTTAATTTAATGTTTTCTTTTTGTGTTCGTATTTTTTCTCCTCTTTTTTCTAAAATATTTGCAGATTATTAGTTTGAAAAAACTTATTATACCTGGAGGATGGAGCAAAAATATGGAGAGACTCATTGTAACCGAAGTAATTCTAGAGTATAATGTGGATGGAAAAAACAACAAGAAAAGGCTTCGCAATTTCCCGAAATTCTTGAACATACTATATGGTACATTTTTATATACATTATGTAATGCTACATAAAAGAAGGGTTTTTAATACTTAATACTTTTTTCAGAAGCGACAGTGGGTGAAGGAAAAACATTTGACGATTTTTTAAATGACTTGCGGCATGGACTGCGCTGTGTAAAAAATAAACACTTTAAGAAAGTGTGCTTAGAAAATAAGGATAAATGAAATGTACATACATATGTATATGAAAAAATATGTATTCAATATACGAGTTCTAAAATTTAAAATTTTTCTCGTTCTTTCCAAAGCGATTACAAAAGCACTTTTCAGTAATGCAACTCATCATGCCTTCTAGCCATACATTGCGAACCCGTTACAGCAGCTCTTTCGAGTAATACGATTCATCATCCCTTCTAGCCATACATTGGGAACCTGTTACAGCTGTGCTTTTGAGTAATGCGATTATCATCGATTCTATCCACACTTTGGGAACGTGTTAAAACAGTGCTTCTCAGTACTGCAAATGGCAAGCGCTTCCGCCTAATGACATGCCTATGTTAAAATCAGCGGTGGTCTCATGAGGTTGGGAATGTGTTCCTCAACATTCATCGCATTACCACCCCGATTCTTGGTAAGCAAAGATTTTGCTGGGTCATGGCAGGAGTCATGTCGGTGTAACTAACACATATTTATTTTCACAAACACATCCAAACAGACTCGTAAGTCATTGGTGTACGACTATCTGCACCTTTGTTGTCCAGTCATGGTTGCGTCTAGCCCTGGAATTTTAAGCCGAGCACATGCATTTCAATGGAGGTCTGCACACATGTCGTTATCGGCTAGTTATTGGCAAATCGTAGAAGATGCATAAACGGATAAGTACGACACTGTCGTTTACTAATCGTTATGCACGCATTGTTTGTTTACATTTTATGGGGAAAAATTGGTAAAAAGTTATTTTTTTATATTTGCATTAAATTTCATAAAATTGAGTAATTCTTGCATAAAATCTGTGGAAATTATTAAAAAGTGGATAACTGCAATACAATTCAATTAACGAGGGAGTTTAAACCCTTCCGAGGGCGTGCTTTGGAAGTTTCACGAGAGGGCGCGCCGCGGCAATTTAGCCGCAAGGTGTACATATATCAAAGGTTGACTGCATTTTTTATTTATTTATGTCGAAAGTCATTCAAATAAAACATCTGAATAATTTGTGTTTATACTGAAACATATAAGCATTTATTTTTTAAATTGTTATGCGTTATCAATAGCAGTGGTGTTTGTACATTCTACACATTGTGAAATATGCTTGCAATGTTTTCTGCAAACATTTTTGTTACGATTAATACAACTAATTTTTGTCTTATTATTCCTGGTACATATTCCCGGTTTAAATTTCTGTTGCATAGCTGGTTCGCTTCTGTATAAGTTTAAAAACATCTTTTTTGTTATTGTTGTTTCCGAGAGAACGAAAAATGACACTGAAGATGGCTTGGTTTGTCTCCAAACTAAATTTGACAAGGGACGACGGAAATTCGTTCTAAAATACATCATTTAAAAACATCATTTTTTCTCTAGAACCTAAGAAAATGAATATCATAATAGTTAGTAGTTAAAATTACACATGACCAAATACTAACAAAATAACAATTTTGATGTAGACCCTTATCACAAACACGGTTGCCACACGACAAAAAATTTTCTGACCAGAATTTACAAAAAAAATTACCAAAAAAAAAACAACGTTTTATTATACAATAAACTGTAAAAACAAACCTCGTTTATTTGCCATAAATAAGACATGGGTACAATAAATAGTTTTATTAAAAGAAAACTAAACAAATGCAGTTTACATATGAGGCTATGAGGGCCAGAGGAGCCTATCTACAACCAAATTTTTAGTAATATGAGAAAGAAGGATCTGTAAAAGTAAATGCAGTATTTTACTAAAAAATTTGCACCTACGTGATGCTACATATTAGGCACGGTGCACATTAGAGCGATACGATACGCGATGCGATACGATATGGATGCGACGTGGACATGCTGATTACGTGGGAGTTAGTATGAAGCGTTGAAAACTGTGCACACTTGCACGACAGCGACACCGCTGCGATATAATATTCACATGTGCACACGGTTTGCTAAACGAGGTGAGATTAGTATTGCGCGGTATTTTTCGCAATAAACATGGCCGTTTACCAGGAGGAAGCATCTTCCTCAATTTTTTTAGTTGAATTAATTTGAAAAAAATCTCATGCTTGTGGCTATACAGAAAAAAACTACTGTAGAACAGACATGCCTAGTTTGGCATGGAGAATTTTAGCACCTGAGGTCAAGGACACAGGTAAGAACACAATAGAATATTTTTTGTTAGGATTTATTTGCCTTTGTTTTCACATCTTTAAAAAGAAATTGAAAGAGACCAAGTAATAATTCCTAAAGTGGCCCCTCAATTTTCACAAAGTAACGAATATTGCAATAAGTATTTGCATTTCTAGCAAATACGTCAGCAAAATATTTCGCCAGTATTCGATATTTAAATATACTTTTTTTTTAATTTAATATATATGAACCTCATTTTTGTAGTAATTATGGCTACCAAAGTTTTCATGCGATTTTCATGAAACTTTGTGAGTATGTAAAAAAAACTACTTTCCTAAAAGATGGTAGGAATTAAAATAAATTATTTTTTCAAATTATTTTTCAAATAACATAAACGGCAATAACGCAACATCCTCAGTTTGTTCGAGTCGAGCTTCTCTTCGCTCTCCAATTTTCTTTAATTAAAATCATATAGTTATTTATTTGCTAATTATTGGCAATGTGCATATAAATCAATCTGGGACAGTGACTCTTTGATTAGAATTGGATTTATTTAAGTGAACAAACTTTTGGTAAATCCATTTAATATGTCTTTGTGGGCAAAAAGTTGAGCGCCCTGAATCTAAAGTGCAGTGCTCTATGTGCATTGAGATTTTTTATCTCAAATGCATCGGCAATCAACATGCTGATCTCGAGTACTTGCTGAGCATGGATAAGCCGTTTTTCTGTAATGTTTGTTTGAATTTGCGCCGTAAGTAAATTCGTTCTCCTCCACCACCTGCTGCGGCTGTGGATATGAGTGACGAGTGCCAAAGTAAAAACTCTCATGGAAACGTAATTAAACAACCTACTGTGGCCGATGAGCTTGCCGAAATTAAAGCGGTTAATGCTCGCCTTTTGTCTGCTGTCAGTGCCCTTCATGAAGAAAATAAGTGTTTATTGCAAAAGTCTGACACTCTTCCTCAAAATTCCAATTAAGAAATTGATGAAAACAAACAAGTAAAATCGTCATCTTCATGCTCTTTGCCTACTGGTGCTTTTGCTTCGCCCGCTGCTGCTGCTCATAACTCATATAGCGACTCTGTCACTGCGCGGGGAGCGCCAAACTACCGCGTCGCCCTGCTATTTCGAAAATTAATGAAAACAAACAATTAAAATCATATAGTGACACTGTCGCTGGCGTGGGGAGGAGTGATAAACTGCCGCCTCGCTCTGCTACTGCGGCATGTGGAGCGTCGACACTATCTTCCCATGCTACTGCTACTGGCACTAATGTAATGCTTGGGATGCCAACTCAGATGATTGCTGCTATTCCAGTTAGTGCTGCTGTTTCAACGTCTCACTCTGCTTCTGCACCTAATCCAGCTATCTATACATCTTCGTATTTGCCGATATCAGCTGCTGTGTCAGATGAGCTGCCTACTACTCTTTGCTCAACGTCTACTGTACCTGTGTGCGTGCCAACTGGCTCTCCCACTGCTTTGTCTGGTTCTTTTCTGCAAGCAATAAATGCATCAAAAGCTTCTGGCGCTCAGACTGGTGGGGTTGTTGCTGTCCAAAATGACTGGAATACTGTGCGTCATAAAAACCTTCCAAGCAAAAAAATATCCTTGGTCGCAATGAAAATGTTAAGCTTGATGTCGTTGTTAGAAAGAAGTGGGTGCATGTCTCCTCCTTTAAGCCGACCGTCAGTAAGGATAGTTTAATTTCGTACGTGTCCAAACATTCTGGAATCGACAGCATACATCTCGCTTGCCATAAGCTTGTTAAGTATGTATGCAATCTCGAAGTCGTATTCTGATAAATCTATTCTAATTCTTGTAATTTTTACGATGGATTTCTATAAATTACTACTATGAATTTGCCAAACCTGATATAGAGATATGTCCCGAAATAATTAATTATACAATGGATTGCTAATAGCTCTTTCTCAATAATGGGTTTGTTGATGCCATGTTTTTGTAATAATTTACTTGCGTATGATATTGGCAAATTGTGACCTATTTCTCCTTGTGATAAATAGCTCGTAAAGCGAAGTCGAATGCGTCTGTTGTAAGTATAAATGGTTTGTCAAAGTCTGGGTATTGTAGTAACGGTGGGTTAATTAGCTTCTCCTTCAAATTATTAAATGCTTTTTTGCATTCTTCAGACCAAATGAAAGGGTTTCCTTTTTTTTAACAGAGAATTTAGACATTTGACGATTTGCGCAAAACCTGGAATAAAACGTCTGTAATAACTGCAATATGCTATAAATCTTCTAGTTCCGTATGGATTTGTTGGCCTTGGATAATTGCGTACTACTTCATATTGAGTTGGGTCAGTTTTGATGCTTTTGTCCGTTATTGAATGTCCTAAATAAATGACTTCTGATTTAAGGAATTGACATTTGCTTGCATTTAATTTGAGGTTGTAATATCTTAGTCTTTCAAAAACTTTTAAGAGGTTTTTATTGTGGTGTTTTAAAGAACATCCAAAAACAATGATTTCATCTACATAAAGTAGGGATGCACAGCAGAGTTGCACGCAGTCGACGTCGCGGCGTGCTAGGCGAGGTGAAGTGAGCTGTACGGAGATGGCAACGTATAAATATTAATCACTACACACTTATTTTCAAGTAAAAATGCGTGCATGTATGTGTACTTTTGCGACAACTGAGCCAGTGTGGCATCAGGGCACCAGAAAAAGCCAATTATTCAAAACAAAAGCGCCAAGTTTTTATTATCATGTTTAATAATTTTTATGATTCAGTAAAAAGTGTATATACATATCCATCTCCTCACGTTTTTATTAATAAATTAATTTAAATACATTTACAACAACGCAAAACATATTTAATTTAGCTATTCCTCACATCTTATTCAGTAAATGAATTCCATCTTAATGTAGAATATAAGTGTATA